GAGTAAATGGGGAGCTGGGCGTTACACGAGGTGCAGGCAAGTCGCCCATTAGCGGTGCACTGTTTCTTGGTCTCGCTCGGAAGCACTTGAGACACTGATGAACGCAATGTTGAACTGCCCTTCGAGCTCCGGTTATCCAGAATTGCCTTGTGAGGAGAGATTGAAGAGTTTGGGTTCCAGGATGGTCGAGATCCTTATGATATTCGCGAATAAGCAGCTGAGTCAGGTGATGCTTCCCGGATAACAGGATCGGGTGCCGTTCACCTTCAGCGAGGTCTGCATTCTTAAGGCGACCTCCCACTCTTATTAGGCCATCTTCATCCAAGTACGGACTTAAAGTTTGAATCGGCTTAGCGCACAAGATGTTCACTCCATCTTGAATTTTCTTCAGTTTGAGTAAGTCATCCTGAAAGCAGTCTTCTTGAACCTTTCGGAATAGCTGCAGTTCAGCTCTCTTTAATTCTCCCATGGTTAACTCTCCTCCACATCGTGACTTCTTTGGAGTGATTGCGCGAAGGATGTGAGCCAAGACTCGCTTAGTCCTAGTCCATGAAGAATATTTAGAAAAGGTTTGGATTGGCTTGGAGACCAGTAGTACTGCAAGATTCTTGCTCTCAGGGACTGAGTCAGTCGCATGCGGCAACGCAACTGCAGGCCATTGTGAGGAGTCTTCTCGAAGCCATGTTGGCCCCTTCCACCAGATTTCGTGATTCAAGAGTTCGGACGCTAGAAGTCCACGTGACGCACAGTCGGCTGGGTTGTCCTTAGAAGGGACATGATGCCAAATTACATTGGATAACAGCTCTTGTATATGGGAGACCCGATTTGCCACAAATGTCTTCAGCTTGTAAGATGAGGTCTGGATCCACTGGAGCACAATTTTAGAATCAGTCCAGGCGTGAATGCCAGAGATATTATAGTATGGATCAAGCTGCTTTGTCACATAATCCGCTAAATCTGCCAACACAGCTGCTCCGCAGAGCTCAAGTCGGGGCAGAGAGATCTTCTTTAACGGAGCTACTCTGGTACGAGCTGTTACCAAGTTCGTGTCATGTGGTGGCTCATCGGTCCTGATGTAAATGCAGGTTGCATAGCCGGCTTCAGACGCGTCACAAAAGGCATGTAGTTGCACAAGGGATTCTTCTAATGCCAAAAATCTTGGAATTCGAACTTGCCTTAAGGATGAGAGCGCAAGCATGAATTTGTCCCATTTGGTCTGGAATCCTCCTGGCAGGGGTTCGTCCCAGCCCAACTTGAGCAACCATAGCTGTTGCATGTATGTTT